ACTTTTTAGAATTCATAGGGTTTTTTGTGCCGTTTGAAATATTTCCAGTGCTTTCTGACGTTTACAAATTTAGCCCGTATCTTCTCACAGCTCCAAAAGTAATTTCATTCTGGTCTTTTTCCACTTTTTCTCTGAATTTCTTTTCTTGGACGCTTTCTGACAACACAAGTGTCATTGACAAAATTGAATAAAAGAAAGGGAAAAGGGGCGGAGATTGATTGGATGGAACGATGAAAGAATTCTGACACTTTTTGTCTTCTTCTTCTTCTTCTTTTTCTACGATTTTCTATATTTCCCGAGAAGATTCTCTCCTTGAAAATCTGAGAGAAAAAGGATTCGGCTGGATCATTTTCCTTCCCTGTCTATTTATGAAAAGCTATGCTATCAGAGGAAGCGCTCACTGACCCGGAGCTGAATGTATTCTATTATCCACATGAATGGCGGTAATTCGAGTTTTAGGTTTTTTTTCAAGGTGTAAACATTTTTGAGAGAATCAGATGATTGCTTTTGAAGGTTTTAGATTCAGAAGTTTTATAAGTTCCTTAGAATGCATTGAATTTTTGACCTGATAAGTTTTTGTATTTGCACACTTTTTTGGTTTCTGAGTTCTAAGTTTCTGGTAACTCCTTTCAAATTTCCTATAGTTTTTTATTTTCAAATTTTCTAGAATTTTAAAACAAAAAAAAGTTTCAGCGATATCAAAACTAGAACATTTTTGAATCCTTTCATTTTTCCCGTAGTTTTCTTGAGTGTCACAAATATGGAACAACAGATGTCTCACTTCTTCAGACTCACATGAAAAATCCACATTTCGTGACAAGCCTTCTCAAATTTACATTCTCTATGAGAATATATTTCTGTGTCTAATGAGTCGAAAACCACGAGACACTTTGAAAAAAAAAATGAAATTGTATCTGAAAAAATGGACACAATTCTTTTCGATTCCTATATCTCTGTCTCTCTCTCTCTCTCAATTTTTCTCCTATATGAACTAAAAAACATAGGCGGAGCTTCAGAGAAATCAGAAGGCTTTCGCTATGCTTTCGCTCCTCATAACATCTGGTCATTTCGGATGAAAAAGTGTCAAACTAATTTAAAGTAAACATATTTGAACTTTCACTTCCCAGTTGTCCATTCCTCCAAGCTTATGATATTTCGAAGAAATTCGAAATCGAAGGATATTTTCTTATATTTTCAATCATAAAAAAGATGCGAATCTTCACACGAAAAACCATAGTGGACACAATATTCTTTTTCTTTGAGTAAGTAGCTTTCGAAATTTTGAAATTAAGATATTAGAAACGTTTTTATGTCTTTGTTTTGATTTTTTATAATTTTTTATCTTTTCAGCGACTCCACGGCCAAAATGAGATGTCGCCTACGGAAACAGTTGTTTATCAGACGGAATAAGGCAAGTTCGGATTTTAGGAGAAATCGGTATCGTGGGAAGTTTCCTGGAAAAAGTAAAGTCTGAAATTGGATAAAATATTTCGCACTAAATTCTGATTTTTTTGACACCAATGTTCACTTTCGTGTGACCTAGATGTTTTTTCACCAAAAATTCATCATCATCTTAGTTCGACATGACTTTTTCGTTTGGAAAGAAAGCCAAAAAAGCCAACCTCCAAAGAAATTGATTTATCTTCGGTTTTAGCACCTGCCCTATCAATTTCAGAAGAAGAAAAATTTTCATGTAATTTTATTTATTTATTTCATCGAAGAGTGGAATATGTATGTGCAAATTTAGTCAGCAGGTCACAAAACCGGAAAAAAACACAGTTAAAAAAATGTGGTCGGGTGGGTACAATAAAAAGCTTTTGGAATTAAACTTTTTTTGAAAATCCGCTAATTTCTAACTTTCAGGTCTGCGACATCTCCCTCTTCCTTGCAGTCCTTGGTCTGATCCTTGTCATTATCGACTCTGAACTTACAGCTCTTTCTGACTCTACCGGTGTTACAAAAGTAACAAATTTTCCTAATTACGCACTTAATACCAAGTTTTCAGGCTTCCCCCATTTCCGTTACCCTCCGTTCCGCATGTGTTGTCTCTACATTTTTTCTGATCTGCTGTCTGGTAAACTATCATGCGATTGAAGTGAAGATTGCGCTGATTGATAGTGGAGCGGACGATTGGCGAGTCGCGTTTAGTACCGATCGATTTGTGAAAATGCTCATTGAAGTGCTCGTTTGTATGATTTGTCCTTTTCCTGGCGAGTTTGAACCGGGGAAAATTTATTACGGTTTTAAGCACAATTTTCAGAAATTTCGATTTTTAGGCACTTTTAATAAAAACAAACATCGTCAAACTTTAACTGAATTTATGAAGTTAGAGACAGACAATAGTTAGGCTTATTCTTGTAGTTTTAGGAAAAAAAAGTTTACATGGGAATTCCAGAAGTCTTCTCTGATGGTCTCATGAAAATGCCATACATCAACGCGGACACTCGTCATGTCAAAATGATCAATGTACCTGTGGATGTGCTTCTATCTGTTCCAATGTTTCTACGCTCTTATCTCGTCTGCCGATTTATGGTTCTTCATAGCAAACAGTTTCAGGTAAATGCGCATTATTGTTTTTTGAGTGAACTATTAATATTCATATCAAACTGATACTGATACAATTTCCTGACAGACTACAAAACATTATTCAGGATGCCGCCACCCGCTCAATTGCCGCACTCAACCGAATCTCCATGGATTTCCGATTTGTGATCAAAACTATGATGGCCGATCACCCACTTCGCGTCCTCATAGTTTTCACTCTATCCTACTGGATGTGCATGTCTTGGATGTTCACACAGTGTGAAAGGTGATTATCTAATCCAATCATTCTAATTACTGCTAATTATATCCAGATACGACGGTCAACTAGACGTGGAGCACTACTATCTCAACTCTATGTGGTTTATAATGGTCACTTTTATGTCTATTGGGTACGGAGACATTGTGCCAAATACCTACTGCGGACGCTGCCTTTCGATTACTACTGGAATTGTGGTAATTGATGATGAATAGACAGTGATTGAGCTAACGATATATTGTTTTAGGGTGCTGGAGTGTCATCTGCTCTAATTGCAATAATTTCTCGAAAGTTAGAGTTATCTAGAGCCGAGAAGCATGTGAACAACTTTATGGCTGATTCCAAATTAACCAATCAACGGAAAAATGCAGCAGCCAGTGTGCTTCAGGAGACTTGGTAAGTCTAGCAATTTTTTTGTATATTTTGAAAATTTTGGATTTTTTTCGATTATTTTCAGCTAGATTTCGGAAATTGAAAAAGTTTCAAAAAGTCTTCAGGGAGAAAATCAAAAAGATTTCTAGACTAAATGACTGCATTTCAGGTTTATCCACAAGTACAAAAAGGCTCTTCACAAGGGTGACGATCTTCGTCTCCGCCACCATCAACGTCGTTTCCTCCACTCGATCAACGAATTTCGCCGAATCAAGTGGGATCAAAGGAAGCTCCAAGAGAAAGGGAATTCACTGTTGGATGTTGGGAAGTTACACAGTGATATGCATGAGACTCTCTGGGAGATGCATAGAACCCAAGATCACTTCATTTCTCAAATCGACGTGCTCACTCAAAAAATCATGGAACTCCAGATGACACTGAACACCAGACCGCCATGCTGTGCCCCTGCCAACACCTCATCAAACGACGCCTACTTCTCAACATCCACTCAAATCGGTACTGTTCTTCCTACTGTGGTTCCAGCCATTCCTCTCCCATCTCAATCTCCTATGCTTCATGCCAGCCAATCTCATCGTGAACCTCTTCAAATCTCTACCACTTCTCCATCTTCCAACGGACTTCAAAACTCTGCTTCGATTCCTAGAATCTCGGTTGGCTCCACATCCTCTTCGACGTCTTCTGGAGCATCTTCTGGAAATGGAAGCCTTCCTCAATGTACAGTAGATCAGTTGTCAAATTGTCCAACTGGAGGAATTTATGCGACTGTGACTACTCCTTTGATTTCAAGCTTTGAAGAAGTTTAAAACTCTGAATTTTTTTGTTTTCGACACGACTCGCTTCAAAATTAATTTTTTTGGTTGATTCGATATAGAAAATGGGAAATTTGAAAAAATCAAAAAACCAGACTTCGAATCACAGAAGTTGTTAATTCACAAATATTGTTATTTTCCAATTCTACATTTTCAATTTTTAGTCATCCCAAAATGTTTAATTTTTAAAAAGTTAAAATTCTTTGAATAACTGTATTTTATATTGTCTGTTCCTCTCAAACTATATTATCTTGCAAACAAATCTGTGATTCTAAATTCAAAAAATCCATTGAAAATTGTTATTTGAAAACTTTTTAGACGGATTTTTTCCTTCCATCATGATCTCCTATCGTACAGAATCCGGTGTTTTTTTCTTTTTCTTTTTTTTGCTCTAATTTTTTTCACTCTTCCAATTCTTCTCTTAGAATTATAAAACCTGCAATATTAAAATGTGATTTTTAATTCAAATTTGTCTTGTATTTTTGTTCTATTTTTTGAGCAATTGTTTTTGAATAAAACATATTTTAAAAATTTAAACAATACATTATCTAGGTTCTCAAAGAAAATACTTTAGAAGTGTTTGATTTATCCTGACTGGAATTGCCAATTCGATTTCCAGACTTTTTGAAAAATTTCATGATTTCCATCCGATAGTCTCTTATGAAATACATGGGAACCAGAGCATCCATGAATGGTTGAGTGGTGATTAATGGTAGAATAATAAGCTCAATCGGTCCCATATCTTGTTTTAGAATAGGAAAGCTGAGCAATATACCGGCTGGAATGAACATTAGGAAAACTGGAAATAGAGTTTGAGCAATGAGAGAACGAAAAAGCTGACGTTGCATTTCGTGAGTCTTCTGGGACACTTGTGTGAGATCTCGAGCGGATTTTAAGAGTTCAAAACGGAGACGAAGCCAACAGTACGCAATTATAGAAAACCCAGACGCCTGGAAATTTTAGAAGTTTTGGAAATTTCTGGATATCCTATATGAAACAATATTTTGATTTTAGAAGATATTTTTCAGCCATAACTTGTACAAATATAAGATTCAGGCCTTTTTTTAATTCTGGAATTGCATTTTTTACTGAAATTATGTTTTAGTCGTTGTATTTTCAAGACTTCTTTTGAAACTCACAATAATAATTCCGAGATTCGCCAAAAATAAAAAATCCGGAATACTTGCATGATCTTCTCCAGTTGTTGGATTTTTTCTCTGAGATTTTTTTTTCGAATTTATCTTATGAGAAAGAAACTCACATAAAACCAAGAACTTGCATATGTGTAATCATCCCGATTCAATTCATAATTGGTCAACATTGTCTCTCTATAATAATTGATTTTTTTTGAAAATATTCTCGCCATTTTACCTAATGTGTTCTTCAACTACTGGATTCTCTCCAGCTACAAAAATTGCTACAATCCACCATTCAAGACTGATTACGAAAAAAATTGCAATTAAATAATTAAAGCTCGGAAATGTGAAAATTTCCAGTCGGTGGGGTTTACAAATGGCAAGAAAACGATATACAAAGTGAAAAACCAGTAGCATCATAATCATTCCATAGCATGAGCAATTAAGTGCTGGAAATAGTTTTTAAATGACTTTTTGATTCCAAAAGTTTACCTATAAAGCAGAAAGAAATTTTCCTTGGAAGCCCTAGAGAATTCCTGCTAAAAATTATGTAAGCACCATTGAAAAAGTGAAGCATTGGCTGGTTTGTTCCATCGATTATAGCGAAAACTATGCCAAAAATTGAAAAAATCAACATCAAATATTTATAATTTCCCATGGATCGGGGAGACTTTCGAATGATTAAAGCAATTAAAATGGAATTTGTGAAAATTGCCAGAAAGGAGTTGAGATAGCACGAAATTATGAGAAATATCATTTTGTGCATCAGTCTGAAAGTTTTGAATGATTGAGAGTTATGAAAAAATTGTGATGAAAGTTCGGAATGTCGGACTTTCTGAGGTTCAAAAGGCATTCAATATAGTGAAGTATTCAGTTTAAGGAACTTTGAGAATCAAACATCTATTAAAATTATGTTTCCTCAAAAAAAAGAAGTTTTTTCTCATTAGAAGTAAGAGTTTTGAAACCAAAAACCATATTTTTCCTTTTCCCCTGAGACTTCCGCACGGCTGATTTTGAAAATTATCAAATCATAAGACTCAGACATCAAGAAGGAAACATTGAGATTCCAAAATCATGTTTTAAGGATAAAATGAGGATAAATAGATCATACATTATAAGGAAAAAAACAGGAAATCATGAAATAGTTTGTTAGAAAATAGTTGGAAATCAAAAAGTTCTTGATCCAAATTACTAACACTGTTGTTAGAATTGAAAATTGAGATACCTAGATTTACCGTTAAATTTTTGATACTCTCAAACTTACAGAGGAAATAGTTTGATGATATAAGAGAAGAAAAAAAAGTTAAGGAAGTTTTAAGGACATGCATGAGAAACTTTAATGAGAACAGACTAGACTCATGATTAATGAAAAAAAAGATGATGAAACGAATGAGATCATAGTTAACATTTTGTGAAATTGAGAAATCACTATAGTTTTGAAGTGGAATAACCTACGTTCTTGAACAGCTTTTTCTAAATAGTTTTGTTTTTTGGATTTCTCCAATTCGAAGATCTGAAATGATCTTTCGACTGGAAAAAAGTTTTGATTTCTGAACATTTCAAAAGTGTTTTGAACATTGACAAGCGAAACTAAATAACTCATGAAGTAAACTTATATTGTAACTGATCACCATGAATAGGGAGCATGATTTGCCGCAAACTATAGTGAGGTTTCATTATTCAATGAACATGAAAAACATTGTTACTTTCTTTCCGGACAATCTCATATATGTACTGCTTCATTCTGTCTAGTGGTGGGTGGTTCTAAGACGGAGAACATTATAGAGTGACAGTTAAACGTTCACACTTAAAAGTAAAGAAAACCCACCTCATCCACACTGGAGTAATGTCTGCCAAATTTTCGAAGGGTTGCTGACACTGAAAAACAGTTTTAAAATTTGCTTGAAATATAGATTAATGAGATAAAAAAGAAGAAATACAAGAGTTACCAGAAAAGATGAAGAAAAAAATCGATGAAGCAAGGATGGAAAAAGTTTGTGTTGATTTTAGGGCTCTTTTTTGATCTATAATTATTATTGAAAATAATTTTATTTGAAAATTTGAAATCTATTTTTGATCTACTATAAAAGTATTGAAGGCACTTCGAATAACTCGAAAATTGGGGATTACACTTGGGTTCAGGCGAGGGGGTCAGAAAAAGCGCCCCAGCAGACTCGTAGGCCAGAAGAAATTTAATAATTTCAAAATGAACGCTGGTTTGAACTAGATCATGATCTATTTCTTAAAAATCAACGGGTTGCAACGCGCGTATTCTCGCTCATCGTTTAAAACTGTGATACTCA